AGCTGCTGGTCAGTTTCAGCAGCAGCTGAATGGGGGAAGCCTGTCCGGCTGCCCCAGCACTTCCGGGTTCCTGATGGTGCCGGACCATCAGGAGTCCTGGAGCATTGGATGCCGGACTAATGGAGTTTTACTGTAGTGTGTTCCCTCAACAGAGGAGCATCAAAATTAGTCAGAATTATTTCCAAATAGCACATCTATATTGACTGAACTTAAGAGCTCCTGAAAGGACTCTGGGGACAGCACCAGGAGGGCAGACACTTCTTGTGACTACTTGGTCAGGAAAACTGCAAAGTGTCTCTCAGGAGCTCCACTTTACGGTTGTGTCTCATGCGCCACTCCTCCACTGCCTCCCCACTTGCTGAGTACAAAACAGATTCAGTGTGCTCGTTTCCCTTGCAGATGCCACACCACTCCAACATGGAGCCAGAGTTGTTGCAAAACAGTACCAGGCTCACAGGCCTTGTGCTGCATGTTCTGGCGCAGTTCATTCAAACTGCCCACATGCTGCTCCAGGAGGATGACGACCAGCCTGGAGGCCCTCATCACCTATGTGTTGTTGCTCTTGCTGCTGCAAATGCCTCTTAATCCCCTGGACACCATGGACTGCTGCTTCTGGAGGAGGGAGACCAGTTTGGATTGGTGGGGCTGCATCGTCATGCAGCGATGCGACGATCAGCAGTGGCTGCAGAACTTTTGCATGCAGAAGGCCATCTTCCTTGCAGCTCTGCAAGTGGCTCACCTCTGCCCTCAGATGAAAGGACACCCGATGGACTCGTCATCCCCATGCAGAAACACATTGCCATTGCCCTTTGGAAGCTAGTCACGCCAGACAACTACCGTTCCGTTGGGAATCAGCTTGGCGTGGGGAAATCCACACTTGGGGCTGTGTTCCTGCAGGTAGCCAAGTCCATCAATCATGTGCTGTTACAAAGGGTCATCACTCTGGGGAACGTGGACAGCAACACATGGTTTTGCTGCCACAGGCTTCCCCAACTGCGGGAGGGAGCCACAGATAGCACTCACATCCCCTTCCTTGCTCCCAACCACTGTGCCTCTGCAACAGGAAGGGGTATTTCTCCACGATGCTGCAGTCCCTTGTGGATCACAAGGGTTGCTTCACCAACACGCTGGCACTCCCCCTCCCCCCCCTCCCCCCCCCGACATCAAAGTTGGGGAGGTGGACATTGTCATCTGCACTCTGGGGGATGCAGCCTAACCCTTGGTCCCCTGGCTCATGATACTCTAACACAGGCAGCCTGGACCCTTCCAAGGAGAACTTCAAGGCCAGGTTGAACAGGTGCTGCATCATCATGGAGTGTGCATTTAGCTGCTTAAAGGGGAGGTTCAGGAGTCTCCTCACCCAGCTGGACCTCAGCAAGATCAACATCCCCTTTGTGGTGGTGGCTTGCTATGTGCTCCACAACCTTTGTGAGGACAAGGGGGAGACTTTCTTGCCAGGGTTGGGGACAGAGACTGAATAGCTGGCCAGAGCATACAAGCAGCTGGACACCAGCACTATTTGGCATGCACATCAAGGGATTGTGCTCATCAGGGAGGTCTTGAGGGGAGAGTTTCAGCCAAGGCCACGTGTGAGACTTTTAGACTATCAAGTTATACACGTATTAATAATGTAAGTTGTTACCGTTTTATCCCTGAGTCGTTCTCCGTGGATAAGAAAATCAGAACAGCTGTTTTCTTCCTGTTGAATATCTTTGAAGACTGTGACACAGCTTAGTCCACCTCCACCAAGTGGTAACCATCCACCACTTGAGTCATCCCGGGTCATCACCACAGCTCGTACTCGTGCATAACTATTACTGAAAGAGATGTAACACGAACAAATTAGTTTTTCCCATAAACACAAAATGGCTAAGCATCCAGTCTTATTTGAAAAACCAAGACCATTAATAAAAATAAATGGCTCTAAAGTGCTTGCTGCATTCACAACAGTCAACAAAAAAGAGAGCAGAAGCTACATCCTGAAAACCTGCCCAATACTGAACTTTTTTATATGCTTTTATTTTAAATCTAATTATTTAAATCTTGTTTTGCATGCATCTTCTTTTTCTTGGGCACTTTCAATATAACTTATTGTCATGGTAAATATCTGGTGATCAGAGGCATTAGGGATGAAATCTTACCAACCAACATTAATGGTCAGTAAAGATATGAAAGGATTTAGAAACTATACATTTAATGGTCCAACTATATCTGAGAAGAATCAGATTCTGACTGAAGAAAACTATCGTATATACTTGAACATAAACTTGTTCATTTATAAGCCAACCTTATAGAGAACTTAGAGAAAAAATGGTTTAAAAAAAAATCCAGTGACCCATTTGTAAGCCAACTCCAGTGTACAGACTTCCAGTCTCAGCTCATCAGCGTCAGCACGGGCTGAGGGACATGCAGTATACAGGCATGGAGCTTTACAGCTCCCACTGGCTGCTGTTCACTGTTCCCAGCCAATGGGACCCGAAAGGCCCCATGCCTGAATGTCCCTTCAACTCTGCAAGCAAATAAATCTCCCAGCGCGCCAGCGGCTTACCCTAACAGGTTAGAGCCAAAGTATGCTGATCCCTATAGTAGATGTAGTTCAGGACTCGCTTCTTTAAAAAAAAAAAAAAAAGTGCTAAAAGTTTATTTTTATTTTAATTGTATCTACATGAGATTTGACCCTTCCACTTCACAAAGTGCTAGACTTTAAAAGACAATAAAAAATACAATGAACGATAGTACTAGGACACTGGTGTCAGTCTGCTACTGAGCAATTTGAGCTCATCATGCATGTTGACCCCCTGGACCTCCTAAGTGTCTGCAAATATAATGTGCAGAATTGAAATCATTAATAAAATTTAAATACCCTGTTATCATCCCAGATGTGCCAATCTGCAGGGCTTCTTCGAAATAAACAACGAACAATTATAATCTGACAGGTGGCATTCCTCTATAAAGTTCTATGGAATCCACAAATTACAGTATTTTCTAAGATTTTTGCACTAGAATTTTAAAACAAGCAACACTGAAATAAGAATACCGTCTCCTTATATGCAGCATTTAAGCTTAGAGCTGTTGAATATGCACAAGCAAACAATAATTGTGCTGCTACTCGTGAATTCTGCATCCATGAGAAGTAATAGAATGGCGAAAAAATAAAGCAACACTAAAAGACATGCCAAGAGGCAAGAAAAAATGTCCAACAAGGTGTGCTTCATTTCCTGAGCTGGAGAAAGAGCTCAATGATTGGGTGTCGACAAAATGGGTACCTTCTCACTAAAACTGAGAACAGTAAACTTCAGTGACTGTGAGCTAACAGGTTCTGTGCCTGAAGACATGCCACATGAATAAAATGTCCCAGCACGCCAGCAATTTGCCCTGCTCCCACTGGAAATTGAAGTTTGCTGACCCCTCCCCTCATGGAAAAATGCAAGTAACACTGCCCAGTTCATAAGCCGACACACACGCTTCACAAGATTTTTTCCCCCCAAAAAAAGTCAGCTTATGAATGAATATATATGGTTATTATGAAGTGAATCTGGTTTCCACCATCAGTTGTACAGAAAGGTAAACAAGTGAGAAAGGGCTTGATCCTTCTTCGAATGAGGCATGAGCAGGACCATGTCCTAACCTAGGAAACCTGGTGTTTTTCCTCCCACTTTGCTTTACAAACAATATGTTTTCATGAATCCCACAAGTTATGTTCTATAAGCAACAAACAGCATAGGGCCCTAAAAAATAAAGAAAAAAATCGTAATTGACAATAGATATTTTTGCTGAACTATGCAATTTCCATGAACACCTAAAATTACTCGTTGCTAAAATTGCATTTTTAAGAGTACTAAACTTTTTTTAGGACCATTTGCTCTCAACTTTTCTATTTGATACATGATGAAATGTACTTTAACTTTACATTTTGCATAGGCTTTTTAAGAACTGTAATACAGAGAAATGTTTACAAATAATTTAAAAGAATACTATATTAATTATTCAAACATCTCGGCCAACTTGTTTTGTTTTTTAAAAAATAGGGATGTAAGCGACCACTTGTTTCCTCCCCTCCGCTGCTGGTTGCTTCCAGGGCTCACTCTACATGAAGGGGGCGGGGCTGTTGTTACCTCTCATCTGCCACTTTGAAGAAATGTCTGCAAGGAGGCGCATCAAGGACCCTGAGGTGAGAGCGGGGGGAACGGGACATTGGTC